TGTGTGTGTGTGTGTGTGTGTGTGTGTGTGTGTGTGTGTGTGTGTGTGTGTGTGTGTGTGTGTGTGTCAAACTGCAACGACACGACGAAGATACACATGACAGGAAAACTGGGCTGGTAGTACCTCTGTTCAAGAAGGGAAATCACAGAGAGTGATCTAATTATCGGAACATTATTTATCTTCATCTGATTGATTTCTACCGGAAAAGTCTACGAAAGGGGTTGGAATGAAGGTGAAGCGAAATAGCTGAGTCCAAAATCCAAGAAGAGCAGTGTGGCTTTCGCTCAGGGTATTCTGATGCAGCCAGGTCTATGAGTATATCAACACAGAAGTTGCCGAGAAAAGAAGCTGGTCACCTAATCTAATGAATATTTTTTCAGATCTTGCTTAAACAACACATTATGTAGTCATTTTCTGTCATGCTTTCTTTTGTTAAAATCTCACCACAGAAGTAGAGCATATCATCCCATAACAGTTCTTTACCGCCGAGATCAATCAAAGAAGATATGACAGACAGAATGGAGAACGGAAGCAGCGTGAGTAGGCAGAATCTCGGCTCTATTTGACTAGACAACGCAACCTGAAAGTTTTCAGTTTATGGAATATTTTATTGGCAATCATCGATATGTATAAAATACTGTAATTCCGAATCATGCAAAATCCGATATCAACGCCAAAACCAACAGACGCAGAAATTGCAGAAATCTACCGCTAAAAATTTCCTTATTTTAATAAGTGAAGCACATTAAATAACCTCATTTCTTAACTTTGAGAGTGAAGAGGAACTTTTCTGTATCACTTATTATATTATTTCGAATAAACTTCTTATTCTTCATATGGAAATCAAACAGTACTAACCAGATTATTAGAAAAAAGGATGACTCTGTTAAACAAATTTACTCTTCCTAAACTACTGTGCCCATTCTGGGACCCTGGCATGTGATTATCAAAACACGCTAACCTGGTAAACTTCGTCCGTGCAGTCAAATTTGTAGGAAGAACCGTTATGAAAACGGTTGTTTGTTGATGTTTAACTGATTCATGTAACACCTCAACGAAGAGACTAGCATACAACTTGGACAAAAATGATTGAGGTAGATCAAAACTCAAAGAAATAGTCTTCCGCACACGAATCTCAATCGTGCTTTCTAGAATAGACGCTAAAGCTTCGAGAATCAAGGGGAGTTCACAAACCGAATACGTTTTGTACCCGCAAATGTCTCAAGGTAAAAATAAACTACGAGCAAGTAACTAAAAAGTAAGATTTAAGTACTAAATAAATGCTATACTTCACATATGAAAGATTCCTGTGTTCAGCGCAACGAGTAACTAATTTCGCTGTAGATGACTACATATAATATTTTGGACTTAATCCGAACAAAATTCTCTCACGACAACTATTTTACCACTTGGACAGTTCAACGTGCTGAAACGCAGTTGAAAAAGCTTTCAATGTGTAAAAAGTGAAGTCAACACAACAAAAGTCCATTAAAAAATATTACAGTTAAATATCGCAATCTTCAGGAAAGAATATAAAATCAATAATATAGTCGATAGGTTAACGGTCAGTTTATTGATAAAATGTGCGATGTACTTCAAAGGAGCTATTTGTTTAGGGCTTGAAACCCAAACGTCTGAAAGGAGATCTGTGTCTTAAAGGCAATTAATTACATGAAATTCGTGTGCAAACAAATTCTACGTGACGAGAGAGTATTACCATGCGGAGTCAACGTCTCGACGATCAGCCTCGTCATACACGTCCTGAAAGAGTTTCTCGAGAGCCGAATCTGAGAGGCTATGAAGACGATGTCTGGCGGTTTTGCTGGTCTCGAATTGA